AAGGTGGCTGGGGAGGAAAACCAGTCTTGTTAAATAAATTGGGGGGGGCGAGGAGGGGAGGAGAAATTCTCATTAATGTCTGTTGTGTTATTATCTAACATCAATTAGCGTGTTAATACTGCTAAGTCCAGTAGATAGAAAGAGTGGACTGGATGGATTATATCTTCAGTATGCTATTTCTGTCTGGAGGTGCTGGGATGTTTATTTCCCTTATCTTCCTTACTTCTCAGATATTTTCCTGGGAAATATTAGTCATTACTTCAATCCATCCTCAGCTTGGCAGGCTTAAGTTTTTCACTGCTGGATTCAGAGGCTTGTGTGTTTATAACCCTCCTGTGTTGAACTGGGATGCAGTGCTTCTTGATTGCCCATGCTGTTATCTCGTCCTGCTTAATGCCTGTGTCTGTTGATAGGTGTGTGAGGTGTTAATCCTCTAGTTCGAACATGTCTGCTGTGGTGCACACTAGGGAACGGGCTACTCCGGATCATTGTTTCAAGGTCATAAAAATCCAGTGCAGAATATTCAGGAGCTTTGGCTGTTCTTGGGGTGCTACTTTTACATTTGTTTTAGCATTTCCATTGTAGATTATTTTCCATTTAGGTGCTCTCATTCTGGTGCATACATCAGCCTTGTGCCCTTCAACTGACAGGCTGCCAAGCTGTTTAAAATCCACATGCAAGTGCTTTCTTTTTCGTTCTCCTCTGCACCTCGCTGGAATGAATTCACCTCTGGTGTGGAGTGGGATGGCTCATTTAAGCACCTCCATTGGCAATATCCAAGTATTTCCTTGTGTTCAGTGCAGGATAAAGGTTGCGGTCAACAGAGGCAGCAGTCTAGGGCAGCAGGCACAAATGACCGCTTGAAAGGTAGGGCAACGCAGTGACCCAACATCAAATTTCACTCTTGAAAAAGGCCCGTCTGGGAGTTTAGCTGGATGACTTACTGTCGTAAGAAGTCCTGGCTTTTCTCACCCCACTTTCCTGGGCTGAGCACCAGGGGCTCAGCTGTGCTGGTACAGCTGTATGTGAGATCACACTCAAGTATGACATGGTGTAGATTTAAAGCACCCCTCCCAAATAAACCTTTCCTAACCCAGATAATGTCAGTGAGCTCTTCTGCAGCCGAGCCCACAAACAGATGTCCTGGCACAGATGAGAGACTGGCATGCAGCAACTTTTAAAGCCAGAACTGGCATATTATTGAATTATATCCTACGGGGCCAGGCATTTGTGTGAGTCAACCACAACACTAACACAACATAACTGCTGGTCTTGTGCAAACATGCTTGTTCAGAGCTAGTCTGAACATCTTTGTACAGCACTATGTTGTACCACAGATTCCCGCTCTCCAGCTTTAATATGAAGGGAGCTTAGATAGAGGGTTAATCATACAGTGTTAACATAATACCTTGGGCGACGGTTACTATATGTTATTAGTAGGTAACACCCAGAACCTCCTGAAGGTTTGTTGCTAAGGTTGCAATGATGTCACACATTTTAATATTAGGAAATGATAGGACACAAATTGCACGCACTGCCCTTCTTTCCCCTGTATGTGCATGTGTCATGTCAGCGTGTCCTGAATACATGACTGTGTGCTGTTTCTTCTTAGGCTTGGGAAAAGGGAGTGAGGTGCTTTTTGGTTTTAGGAAAACTGAAAAAAAGCCTCATCCTACTTTATAATGTCTTAGTGATACCAACATGAGCCACCAATAAACTCCATTAGCCAAGCTCATGAGATCACTGTTGATGGGCTTGGCAAGTCAGAAACTGAGTATTCCCAGTGAAGTGTACAGCCCTCTTATCCCAAGCCAAACGATGCTCTTCCTCACAGGTTTTCATCCCAGTCCCACTCTGTATGTCCAGCAAACTCAGTCACCCGGCACCCGCTCCATGCTACCCCATTTTCTTGCTAATCAGTGCCAGCCTCCCCGCTCCTTATTTGGGGTGTCTACCAGACTGGTACCCTGCTCTCAATTCATGTGGGCTCAGCCGCTCAGAGCTGCAGTGTCTGGGATAATCCCGCTCTGGCCCACACTGGAGCACGCCCAGTACACTGAGAGGACTTCAGGTGCCAAGAGCAAAATCTGTAAGTCGCTGAAAACTGTGAATTTTCCTGCCCACCTCCCAAGGATTTTATACCGTAGACAGATCTGAGTTGCTTTTCATGGAAATTGCCAAAAGGTGTTACAATGACATAAAATTCAGTTCCTTGCTCTGAACACTAGCTTGTTTCAAGGAAAACGCTGCTACTTATGGACATTCTTTTCCCCTAGATTTTATTTTAGAAATGTCTGAAATATTTTGACTGAAACTTTGCAAGAATTTTCAGCTTCTGTCAAACAGCCAACATGGAAACTTCCAGCTGAAATAACTGAAGCTTGGCAAAGTTATAAGCAGTTGACATCTAAATCCTAAGAGGAAGCACAGATGAATTGAAAGAACAAGGAATGCTTCTAGCCTTATCTCTGATATCTGAATAAACATTGAAAATATCCTAGCAGCGGGGTGTAGGAATGGTCAGTCTGAATTTTTGGATCCTGCACTTGAGCCTTTAGACGGTACAAGGAAGAAGTGCAAAGGTGATGCCTTTGGTGGGAGTGTGGCAGTTTGCAAAGTATGAGAACTCTGGAATTGCTAATATGGTCGGGTGAGAGAAGGGCATTTGATCACACATGTTTTTAAATACATCCTCTCTGTCTGATGGGCACTATGTTGGCTACAAAGGCTTTGCCTTTTAAAGATATTCCTGAAAAAGATCAATGCGTATCGGTTTTTATCCCACTTCCCAAGTTTGCTCTTTTGAAGATATTTTTTATGAATTTAAAGACAGAATAATAATCCATATGTAATTTCTTAAGTATAAAAACTTCCCACACTCACAACGTGACATGTTTATAAATCTCAGCATTTTGGTTATGGCTGCTTATTTGTTTAGTTTTTGGGTTGCTTCCCAGTATCAGTTATGAGCCAATAATTATTTGTCAGCTTTTTTTTTTTTTAATTGAAGCCACGGGCCATATCATACCATTGATTTCTGAACAGAACTCCCCGCTGGAATCAGCAAGGCTTTCTGGCTCAGAAATGAATAGAAATGATCCAATACTTGGATTATGACTTTTGTAAGGCAGGAGGAAAAAGGAGATAAAAATCTAGTATTAAATATCTCAAAGTAGTTCTTTTGATTTTTTTTTCCCCTGACTTTTAGCAACCCAACTGTATTGATTTTTGACTGCATGCATGTTTAAAACAACAAATGCAACAACAACAAAACTCAGTGTTCTCTTCTCTGGGCATCTTGCCTTGTAACCTGCAGCCCAGAGCAAATTTTTATAACGACATGATAATCTATTGCAAACAAAGGTTTGCAACAGATGCTTGAAACCCCCCAACTACAGCCTGATGAGTGCAGTAACAGATCTAAATTACTTCCATGCCACTGCTGCATATTTTTGGTGCCACTGTAGATGGGTGAGAGAGGAAGATGACAGCCCACCAGAGGTGCATCGTGAGTGTTTACTGCAGTGCCAGATTTGGAGAATAAGCAGAGAGCAGCATCTTTGAAATGTTTGAAAAAGCATGTTTGAAAGCACTACCCCTGTGCCTGTGGTTGGCTCCCTGCGTGGCTCCTGAGAGGGCTCCCAGCCTCTCCGTGCCTTGGTTTCCCTGTCTGTAGAGCAGGAGAAATTATTTCCCCCCGGGCGGCCCAGGGGACAGATCCTGCTGACTGCAGAGCTCAGTGAAGCACGACGCGGTGGGGTTTGTCAGTGGTTGCTGGCTCAGATTTGGGGCCAGGGCTGTTAGCCAGGGCCCCGGCCTCTTTCTTTCTTCACCCGTGGCTGTGTGTGACATCAAGGTCAAATCCAGAATTGCCTTTGGCAGTGGTTTTACTAAAGCTGCTGAGCATCCCACCCTGCCATGGGTGACACCAGTGGGGAGGAGCCGCTTGCTGGCAGCTGCCATGGGTGCTGCCCCACCTGTGGAACCTGGTGCTTTGGGACATGGGGTGGGGAGGACAGAGGTTGCTGCCAGGGGACAGAGCATCTTGGTGCTGCCCTGTAGCAAGGACGTGGCTGTACCTAGGCAGGGCCATCCTGGATGTCTTTCTGCCTTGTGTTTCTGAAGTCAGGAGCAGAGGGGAAGCCAGGGCAGGAGTGTTCTGGGCAGCATCCCAGACATGGTCCAAGAGCTGCTGGATTTTGCTGTCAGAGGTGGTGCCAGCGGCAGCGGGGGCGCGGGCATGAGAAGGCAGCAGTGGCCTGGGAGCGATCCTGGGAGGAGCAGGCAGCACTCATCTTCTCAAGTCAGCCTTGCTGCAGGGGACCTAGCAGCTTGATTCCCCGGCCCAGCACTGGTTAAACAAGGCACAGGAGAGCAAGCTCTGACACCCTATCTTCTGGAAGGTCTTCGCCAGTGGTGGGTTGAAATAGTTCTGTTTCTCATGCTTTTGCTCTGCCAGAACTGCCGTATTTTTACTTCATCTCATTGCCCAGGAAGATCAAGCCCCAGCCTGTTTGGGACTGTACAGGCATGAAGCAAAGGGCAGAGGAAACAGACAGCAGTGTGGTCTGGTCTATAAATTGCCTTGAGATGAATTCTTGCTCTTTAGCCCACTACGTGATCCTCAGCATTAATTCTAGTCACCACCATCTCCTTCATTTTCTATCCTTCACCCAGCTTAGCCGTTGAGGCTATGGCTGTGTTTAGAAAGGGAACCGGTTGTTACAGTGTGTTTGGACATGGCCAAACTCAACAAGGCCCTTGGGGCCAAGCTCAGCGAGGCCCCGGTCTCAGGTGGTCACTGTGCTTATATGAACGCTGACTGGGAAAAGGAGCAGCCCCAAGCGCTGCAGAGGCAAAAGTGCCATGGAGTGGGGACAGTCAGCGCTGGCCGTTGCATTGCTTGCAAGGCTGCAGCT